AACCCACCCTAAACCCTAAACCCCCTAGCCCCTAAACCTCCTTAAACCTCGAAGCCACCATGACCTCGACCCCGAAGAGCCAGAACTCTAAACCGGGGCGCCTCTAATCTAAGGAAATAGCCCAAGTCTGAATCCTAAGCCCAAAGCCCGAAGACCTCGATAAAGCGGCAGCCACAAAACTTCAAAGCACTTCAAAGGTATCGTGAAGGGTTTAGGGTTTAGGGTTTAGGGTTTAGGGTTTAGGGTTTAGGGTTTAGGGGCCTCTAAACACAAACAACCTCAAGGCTACGGGTTGCGGAATCTGCATGCTTAAGGCCAGCACTGAATCCCTGAATCCTGCACCCTAAACCCCCAACAAAACTGCCCTAGCCCCAAGTTCTCAAGTTCCCAAAACCCGAACACCTGCACCTCTAAGCCCAAAGCCTGCTCATCCCTGATTCCAAACCTACAAGCGGGGCCTTCAAAACCAGAAATTGGGTTTGGGGGGGTATATATATATATACTATAGAGCCGTAGAGTGAAGAACAAGTCCCTAAACCCTAAACCCTAAACCCTGATACCCTCAGCTTAAGCTCTGAAGCACCGAACACATGGCTTTTCTGGGCTCAGGGTTTAGGGCACTGACGGGTACTCCAACGCCCGACATGTTGAAAGGAAACTACAGCTGGGAGTTTAGAGTACAAAGGGCTTCTATACGGCTTCAAGGTAAAGGGACCTTCTATAAGGCTCCTATAACGGTAACTACCCACCTGAATACGTCCTAGGCATGTTGAAGTGTGCAACCCAAAAATCCGTAACAACCCGGCAAGACCGGCTTTCAGGCCCATTTTGGTTTCGAAACCCCCTAAACCCTAAACCCTAACCCCTGAACCCTATAACCCTAACCCCTCAACCCTAACCCCGAAACCGCTAAACCCCTAAACCCCTAGACCCCAAAACCTAAGCCCCGGAAGCCCTAAACTCTCAGCCCGAAACAGTAACGGTTTAGGGTTTAGGGTTTAGGGTTTAGGATTTAGGGCTTAGGACTTTGGGTTTAGGGTTTCGGGCTTAGGGATTTGCGAAAACTCTACAAGCCTGAATCATTAATAAGTTCTAGTCAGGCTCAGGGTTTCGGAGCTTTTATGATTGATTGAAACCCTAACGGTTTAGGGCTTTTTCGATCTACGATAGACGGTTTAGGGTTTAGGGTTTAGGGTTTACGATTTAGGGAATCCTAAACTAAACATGAACCCCAACCCGCACTCCTAAACTCCTCTGCAGTGGAGGCGCCCTGACGGTGGCTTAGAGAGCGCCGAGGAAGCGATCGAGGAGCCTGCCAAAGAAGCGGAGCTCCTCGCCAGAGCACGTGGCACGGTTTAAGGTTTAGGGTTTAGGAACTACTATATTCAGAATCCTATAAGGTAGGTCCAAAAAAGGAACTACTATATTCAGAATCCTATAAGGTAGGTCCAAAAAAGGAACTACTATATTCAGGATCCTATAAGGTAGGCCCAAAAAACGAACTACTATATTCAGGATCCTATAGGGTAGGCCCAAAAAAAGGAACAACCCCAACGTAGGGGGCCGTAATCACTAAGGTGGGTTTGGGGGTATGCTCTCGTCATATACCCCTTTCGGGACCAGGCGTAGCCCATAATAAGTCCCAAGAGATTCCCCGATCCCAGCCGTATGTCTGTGTAGCGGCCCTGAATCCCAAGCCGAAAACAACCGCTGAATCCTTGCAATTTCCTCACGGATCAGTCCTCACGCTTGCAGCGGATCTCCTGTTAGGCCGGACAACTAGATTCCTTAAAAACACAGACTCTCATAATCACGGCATTCTTCCTTCTAGTCGGTTGTAATACGGAGCCCAAGAAAAAGAGCAAAAGGGTACTACTGGGCAACCTAGACAATTGACCATCATGCGAAAACTCTACAACTCTCGGTATCGTTTGACGGTCGATTTAGGGCTCGCGGTTCAGGGTTTCAGGGCTTAGAGTTCTCGGTTTCGTTTGAGCTCGGGGTTTAGAGTGTGAATTCATGTCTACTGGAACTGTATGATGTCTACTGCAACTGTATGAACTGTTGTCAGATAGTAGACGGCAGAACTATCTACATGTAAGGGTTTAGAAGACCTCCTTCCGGCGCTTTTCCCAAAGGGTCCTATGTACGTATATGGGGGATACTTGCCCAAACCATAATAGTAATTCCTAAGATAGGAAGCCCTACATTCTACCATATAGGCACATAGGACCCTTTGGGTTTTGCAAAGCTTCTGCAGGCCGCTTCTGGATTTTGGGGGGAGCTTCTTCCAACAAGGCTCAGACTCCCAGTGAAGTCTCACGAAGGAACCATATCGGAGGGGCTCTAAATGCTCAATCCTACCCCTTTCTATGACTTATGGTAATTTAAGGGGCCGTAATAATCAGTAATACAACCTTTGGGGGTTTTCCTCATCATAATTGTAGTCTAATATTCCCCAATACCCTATTCTAATTATTAAGGCCTCTTTTTGTATATTCCTTCGGCAAGGGTCTGAAGTCTCTAGCAAACTTCTGAGAGCTACGACGCGCTTGCGCAAGAAGACTCTTCTCTTGTCAGGATTTACGGGTGGGGTTCTACGGCTGTTTGGGTTTAGGGTTGAGGGTCTGGAATTTTCAAGTTTAGGAATGTTCAAGTCGTTTAAGGTTCAGGGTGCAGGGTACTTTTTGGGCTTGCTGCACGAACCTTGAAAGCTGGTTGATTAAACCTAGTTTCATCGAGACTAGTATAAAGTGTAAAGGCATAATGCTCACTATTTCTTCAGAGCTTGGCATCACTTGTCCCGGATATGCTTTAGGTTTAATGCTTGGGTTTGGAGCTGTGTAGGGCCGTCTCTGTTGGAGCAAGCAAGTGTAGGGTCACCTATAATATGACTTAATATCATATAGTCTAACATAATATCGTATTTTTCAAAAATGATATCATATAGTACAAAGATACTGCGGCAAGAGATAACATAATATCATATGGCATAGCAAAATTAGTATGATTTAACACAATAAAGTTTGAACAGAATGACTCCTTCGAATCCGAAGGGTGTGTTTTCAGATTTTGGGGTTTAAGCTTCGGTTTTTGTCGAAACCATCGTACCGTTAGGTAGAGTTTAGGGTTTACGGCTTAGGGTTTAAGGTTCGGGTTTGTAGAGAGTCATCACAACAAGAAGTTGAACTGAATGTGCCCACCTTCCGATCACTTGGACCATGCAGCCAAACAGCCCTAAGGCCCTGAGATGGTTCATGAACCCAAAACCCGAAGCTCTAAACCCTAAACCACTAAACCGAACGGTCCCAGCCTTTAACTCGACAGCCGCGAGAGCCACCCCAACAAAAAAACCCACACTCTGATTCCTAAACCGGAATCCTAAACCCTGAATCCTAAGACGTTCAGTTTCGAATTCAGGGCTCAGGGCCTAAGGTTCAGGGGTTTAGGGGTTTGGGGTTTATAGGGCTTAGGGACCCGAAACGCTACACCCTAAACCCTAGCTTCCGTTGGGTTTAGGGTTTAGAGGTTCAGGGTTAACCCCGGCCCCGCCCTACACCCAAGCAATAAGCCTTGGGTTGCTTACTTGTCCACCCAAAACCTGAACCCAGTATCCTTGGGATTTAAAGGTTAACCTTTGGGATCTTATAAGGATTATAATACCCCAGCCAAGAAGGTACCTACTCTACTACCCTAAACCCTAGACCCCTAAAAACCCTTAGCTCCTAAACTTCCTTGAGCTCCTAAACCCCTAAAGTCCTAAAGACACTAAACTCCTAAAAAACCTAAACCCTAAACCCTCAAGTCCTAAAAACCCTAAGCTCCTAAAAACCCTAAACTCCCCAAAACCCTAAGCTCCTAAAAAGCCCTACAACCCAAAAAAAACAACCTCTTAAAAGCCCTAAACTCTAAAAGCCCTAAACTCCTAAACCCTAAAAACCCCTAAACTCCTAAAATCCCTAAACTCCAAAAAGCCCTAAACTCCTGAAAGGTTACCTACTCTACTACCCTAAACACCTAAACCCTAAACTTCTAAAAGCCCTGAACTCCTACAAACCCTAAACCCTAAATCCTAAGTTCCTAAACTCCCAAAAAGCCCCTAAACTTACTACACTTGCTGGCTTCCTGGAGCGATCCGAGGCGACGCTGGGTGGCCGCAAGGTGCGGGCGTACGGGTCGTCCGGATGGGGCAGCTCGCGGTTGGGATACCTGGCCAAAGGCTCAATCTAAGGCTAAAAGTATGGGCCCCTAATATGGACCCTTAGGCCTTGCCAGGGACCCTTAAGGGTACATATAGGGTCTGTAGTAGGTGTATAGGGGTCAGGGGTTCAATGGTAGTTCTCTAAACTAGGGTCCCTATATTAGGGTCCCCTTTAGGGTCCATTAAAATAAGGGTGCCGTACAAAATTGGGGACCCACAAAGGGACCCTAATTTAAAGAACTACCCGTATACAGCATGTTTTAAGGGTTTAGGGTTTAGGGCTTAGGTTTTCCAGGGTTTTTAGGGCTTGGCTTTGGGGCTTGGGGTTTAAGGAGAAAGTTTAGGGTTTTGGGAAAAGTTTAGGGTTTTGGGATACCTGGGACCCAAGTGGCTGAACAATTAAAAAAAGTTGTTTTGTTTTGGGTATATTCAACTATAGTTATAATGACGAACCCCAAGAACAATATTGGTATTTGTTCAGGCATCTACAATACGGTGTCCGGATTCCGGCTAAGAGGGTTGTGGGATGATGCATGGCAAAGCGTGTTTAGCGGCAGGGATCAGGGTTTAGGTGCAAAGTTTGTGGTAGAACTTCTGGTAACAGGGTCACGGGGTTAGCGGGTTGCGGTAGTGAAAGCCCTATAGGGTTTGGAACGTTGCAGTTATGAGGGTGCCGTCTCCGACATGGGCGGTTCAGTAATACGTCATGGACCCGACAGGTCCCAATATGGGACTTTCCGAAAATAGGGGGTACCTTATTTTGGGGTCCTTATAATAAGGATCCTATTATTTAGGGTACTATATTAGGGTCCCCTATTTTCGGAAACTCCCATATGTAGCCCCAGTTTTGAACCTTAAGTTGTCAAGGCCTCCAACTTAGCAGAGCTAACTGGTTTCATGAAGCCTCACTTTTTCAAAATCCCTTAACTACAAAACCTAAAGCCCTTAACCAAGAAAACGCGGTGTGATGTACCTGGAAGACCAAGCTACCCTAAACCCTAAACCCTAAACCCTCAACACTAAACCCTGGAAGACCAGGCTACTACGTATTTACTGCTTCGATTGACATCGGCTCCGATGATGAGTGGAGATCTAAGCGCGGTTTAGGGTTTAGGGTTTAGGGTTAATCTAAGTACCCTAAACCCTAAACCCTAAACCCTAAACCCTAAACCCTAAACCCTAAACCTCCCACCCGAGTCTCCTGAATTAATTAAGGGGAGACTGCCGTCTGCTAATGCCTTAGGGCTGGACGGTTTAGGCTCCATAAATCTCTAACATAATATAGGGGCCTCAATAATTAGAATAGGGTTGGGGCCGATGATACTATATCTATGATAAAAAAACCCAAAATAGCATTGATAATTATTTAGGCACCGATATTAGGGCTCGGCGGTTTAGGCTCCATACATCTCTATCTATAATGTTTGTTTTGCTTCGGTCAACAGCAGAGAAAGCTGAGCAGCTGGGCGTCGGGTGGAAGCTACATTCCGGTATTCTTCCCTGGGCTCTTGGGGAGCAACAACATCTGATATCCGGGTCAGCAGACCCGTGCCACCCTAAATAAACTCTACACCACAAGCCAACAGCATTCTAATCAGTTTCAAAACTCTCGCGACTCCACTTCCGAGTAGTTGGCTTAATTAAAGTGCCCGAGAGTCGTTTTGACTCCCAGACAAGGTAAAGTCACAAACCCTAAACCCGAAGCTCTTGGGATTGGGGTTGGGGAACACCTTACACCCAACGCCCATAACCCTTCCATAGAATCCGAAGGCCCGAAACCCTAAACCCAGAAAACGCCCCTTGCAAATTCCCCCTGAACTCATATAACACCCTTCTGAAAACCTATGGATTCAGGCCCTCCAAAGCCCAACAGAACCAATGTAGAAAGCACTTGCGAAATTCAAGACCCCCCACAACCCTAAACCCCCCAAAAAGCTTCTCCAGCGCCTCTTTAAGAGCTCTGGGTGGGGCTTCTTTGTTCCAGCTAGCACCTCCTGTTTTGGGTTCGTGGGGTGTTGGTACTGTTTTCACAGTTTTAGGGTTGAGGGCTTGAGGGGCTTCGGGCGACATCGAAGCTGCGTCCGGTAATGTAGGGGCCTTAATAATTGGAATAAGCTCTTGGGCTCCTGTATAGTATACGTATAAGAAGGAACCTCGGGAATACTGTTGGTAATTTGAGGCTTCTACAGTACTTCTGTTCTGCTTGTTCCTTCTCTCTTTCCATGAGGCTTCAAGAGTTTGGAGCTTTTACCTATTTCCCAAATACCCATGGGTTGAAACGTTGGGCATCGCACCCGTAAGCCGTAAACCCCTAAACCCCTAAACCCGAAACCCTAAACCCCTAAATCCGAAACCCCAAACCCCTGAACCCTAAACCCCAAACAACTTTGCGGCTGTCCTGGTTTAGGGTTCCGGAACTTTTGGAGTTTAGGGCTCAGGCTTGGGGTTTCGGGTTTAGGGTTTAGGGTGGGGTTTAGGGCTTGGGGTCTGAAGTTCAGGGTGGGTTCCGGGCTTGTGAGGGACTTTGTGCTTCAGGCCAGGATTTTCGGCTTAGCGTTTGCCGGTTCCTAACTTCGACTACACCCATGGCATCCTTGTCGAAGATGCTCTTGATCATCTGCCTCTCGAAACCTCGGGCATAGCTGCCGACGCTTCGTGGGTTCAGGGCTGGTTTGTTCACTCATGGACCAAGACTCCTATAACATACCCAAAAGGTCATATGCACTGTTATGGGGCATACTTCCCCAAATCATGATAGTCATTCCTATTATAGAAACCCCACATTCTACTATATAGGTACTTAGGACTCTTTGGGATGCTTTGCTGGGCAAGTGCGCTGCTCAGGGGTTCGTGTCAGTTAGGGCCGGAGGGTGTGCAAGTATTTGTGTTCAAGACTTCATATGATTGCTCCAGCGGGGGCTTCGCTGAAGATCCGGAATAGACAGGCAACCCTAAACCCTAAACCCTAAACCCTAAATAGGCAAGAAGCAAATAACCAGGACTGGGACTCTCTGCAGCAAGCACTAGGCGCAGCGCTTGATGTTGGGGCCTTAATGATTAGACTAGAGTCTTTAGGTCTAATAGAGTGTACGTACGATAAGATAAGGAATAGTATTGGCCAGTGTTAAAGCCCCTACATTAGCCCGATGCCTGCTGGACTCCACGGCCATAACCAGAAACAGCTGAGCACCAGGAGCCAGTTTGCAAAGCAATGAAGCGCCGGCCTAAACCAAAAAACTCTAAACTCCGAAGCCCTACACCCCAAATTCCAAACCCAAAGCCCCTGAGACCTAAACCCGAAACTCTAAAACTCCTCAGCCCTAACCCCACGTTCCACACCCGAAGCCACTGAGACCTAAACCCTAAACTCCTAAGCCCCAACCCCAAGTTCCAAACCCAAAGCCCCTGAAACCTAAACCCTAAACTCTAAACCCTAAACCCTAAACCCTAAACCCTAAACCCTAAACTCTAAACCTGATCCCAAATCGGGTGCCCTTTCAGGGCTCGGCCCTGCAAAAAGGAAGACTCAGGGTCTCCATGTCGATTCCTTTTGGTTAAAGGAAACTACAGGTGGGGAGTTTAGGGTTTTGGAGTTTAGGGTTTGGGGTTCAGGGTTTAGGGTTTAGGGTTTAGGAAACTACAGGTGGGGGAGTTTAGGGTATGTAGGGCTTCTATTAGGCTTCTATAAGGTATATCGATCTT